GGGGAAACCCTCGGTGCTTTCGGCTCCCGCCCCTCCCGTTCATGAGGTTAACGAGGAGCAACGTGCCGCAGTAAGGTCAATTAATGCTTGGGTTTCAGACTTGCCAGAGCCGTCTAGACGGCTTCCTGATGGACAGTGGTCTGTGGGACCCGGGGAGTGTTTTGGCCGCTGTTCCCGTAATGTAGTTACATTTTTATGGTCTCCGGGCGAAGGGATGCAAATAAGGATGTCCCGCACATCTGGTGGAAAACGCGTTGCTATTTAATCCAGAGGCAGCTCACCAGGCTTAAAATCTCTGAGACGGGAGGGATGGTGGAGAAGAATGAAGAATCGGTTGTAAGTGGGGCTCTGAACGGAAAGCAAGGGGATAATGTCCGGGCGAATTTACCGCAGAGACAATAGGGCCGGATTCCCTCACTTGGAAGGAAACCACGGGAAGCAGGAGGAGCCCAGCCTGAGGGGCTGTAGCTCTTGGCCCATCTGTGCCCTGAGGTTACCAAAGCTCACCCCCACCTTCAGCTTTACTGTACTGCTCCGTCTGCTGGAGCTAATGCTTGATTTAACACAGGGTTTAGCTTCGCGGGAACCCTCCTGGAGTATGTCAGGATTTCTTTAACAGCAGCATCCCTGGTAGAACAAAACAACAGGGGCCCTTCGTTAGGTTTTCTTGTCTCAAAAAATGCTGAAATACTGTAGTCAAAAGCATTTTCTCAGGAATTCACGTGTGCCTCACAGCCCTGGTTCGGCATTTGGGGGGTCCCTGGTTCTGAACCATAAGCTACTGGAGAAACTGTGTCAGGCTCTGGATGCGGGAAGGTATTGAGTATCCTCTTAATGACGTGGGGTTTGGCCACGCTGGGTACTTTGCAGGACTGAGCCTTCCAGGATTGGAGTTTGGTGGGAGAAGGAGCAAGCTGTGGCATGAGGCGGGGGCTGCAGTGCCGGGGGAGAGGAGCCTGGAGCAGGCAGGGGGACGTCTTCCTCCGGTCCCCTGCTCTTGTACTCTCTCCTGGGGCATTCTCTTGGGGCTCACCGGGACGAAGGCGCTGGGCTTGGGAGGAGCTGCTGAAGCTGAAATGGGTGAAATGGAAAGCCCGTGTGGCACAGACCTGCCAGCTCTCACATTCTTGGCTGATAAAGCACCGCGTTTGTCTCCATAAACCTGCTGGAGGAATGATGCCTGTGTAGCTTTTGACAGTGACGAGTTGCTGCTGTGCCGGGGCTCCCTTCCTGCGGTAAGATGAGCTCCTTTCCCTCCTCTGCCCCCCCCAGCCTGCTAAACTCTGAGTTGGTTTGGGCCAGAACCCTCCCTTTTGGTTCAGTTTGCATCCTACCTTGCAAAATTGGAATGCAGTGGGTTTAGGCACCAGCATAATGTAAAAATAGCATAGTTCGTAGTAGTAGCCATGATGGGGTTTTGTCCTGGTGAAGAAGTGTGCAGCTTTCCCAAGCAGCACGTGCTGGACTTGCACCCAGCTGTTTGTTTTATGGGCACTCCTTTCAGTGTGTGTAACCCGGGTTTATCAGCGTAGTTTGGGACTGCAATGGAAGGTGAAGATGCAGGGGTTAGATAGGAGCTTGACAAGCGGGATTCAGGGTGAAGTTAACTCTGTGCTGAAAGGACCCAGTCACTAGATCACTGATGGACCCTTGATGTGTATCGAGCCTCGCCAGGGGCATCCCTTATGCCAAGAACGTAACACCTCCCAGCTAGCTTCCAACAGCCAACACTATTTCACACAAGTTGTTGAAGATGCAGTTTTACATGTGTACATTTGTCCAGAAGCAATTCAGCGATTTTCTGTAGATGCTGCCATTGATTCTGACTTCTGCTGTAAAATACGCACACTGGAAGAGATTTCCTGAAACTGCAGATTCGGTAGAAAACATACTTCTCCTAAAAATAAAGTTTATGGAATTCCTGGCATATTTTCCATTTGACAATTGGCATTAATTCATAAAGGTAAATACACTTATCATTTCAACAAAAAAAATACCTTTGATGACTCCTGCAGGCAAAATGAGTGGAATGTGGTACGGATGGAAAATACTCTTATCTGCAGGAAACAACTATTGCCCCAAGGATAAAATCAGTAATGCTGATTATTTTGTTGTTTCAGGAGGACAAAAAATGTTTCATATGCGACTCTGAGGATCCCTTCCATGATACTCTCAATCCTGACAGTCATCGCATTGAAAATGTGGTCACCACGTTTGCTCCAAATCGCCTGAAGCTCTGGTGGCAGTCAGAAAATGGTATGGGGATTTGTCTGGGAGCCATTTCCTGGGCTGGGAGCTGCTTTAAGTCCTTTTGTTTAAGGGTACCTGCGGGTTTGCTGTTATCCCTGGCCTGGTGATTACTGCCCTGGGAAGGATCATGCTGTTCGAGAAGGACTGAGTAAAACTGCCTGCTTTTGTGTGCGCCCTGGGAGCAGTCCTTAATCCATAACGAAGCCAAAAGCCATCCCACTGCTTTGCCAGAATCCTTTCCTAAAGAGAAAAGTTTCCCATACTGGCTCCAGATCTCCCTCATGTTCGGGCAGCGGGAGCGGAGCCGCCTTCCAGGAGTAAATATCCCCAGGGCAGCGCTGCCAAGAAAGCACCGCAGGGCTTCCCCGTGCTGGGCTGGCTGGGTGGTGGGGAAAGGAAATTCGGGCGCAGAGCTGGGAGCCTCCCTCTTCCCTGCCCTCCAGCCCCAGGAGAGCAAAGCTTGGTACATCTACCCTGCAAACTGCCTTCCTGGGCTCCCTGAATTCCTGCATCCATGTGCCGAACAGTAAAATGAACACCAGAAACAAGCCAGCTAGTTAAAAAAATATTGCATGTTAGTTTGGTGGCTTTTTTCTTTCTTTTATTTATTTTTTTACTCTTCCTCTGCCCTTTTGCTTTTATGGCTATGCTTTTGGCATGCCTTCATACACAATACAAGGCACTGAGGCTTCTCAAACAGCGGTCTTACCCTGAGGCCTTAAAGCCAGCTGGACAGTATGGGACTTCTGCAAATGCATTGGCAGTAGCAATCTTACTGTATATTAAAATAAAATGTTTCTAACATTTCTGCTGCCCAATAAAGAAAGCTTTTCACTAAATCCTTTTAACCGTTTAGATCAGACTAGCAAGCTGCTTGTCTCCAGCAGCTCTCTTCCAGCATTCCAAATAATTCATGTTTTTTGCAACAGGCTTGGCAGCATTCACACAGAAAAGTTCTTAGCTCATAAGGTCATGAAAATGTCCTTCAACAATAAAAACCAAATGATTCTTTCTGTCCAATTCATGTTTTCTTCTATTCAGGCATACAGCAGAAGGGGCCATTGCTGCATGTTCCAAATAAATTTTTGACGAGCTGTGACTTCAAGCGCTTTATTAGTTTATTGTTTTCATTTCTTACCCTTTCTCCTCCCTGTAAATCTGGATTTTTTTTTTCTTTAATTTCTAACTACAGTATAATTAGTAGCCAGCTGTTTTGAGAGGTATTTTCACATGACAAAATAATACTTGGAACTGTTCTTCCTTTCTGTGGAGAGTCCTTGGCAGTAAGCAGTCATCCAGCAGTTTGGGAAACTTTTTGCCTACCACTTGTTTCCTAGCCCATGGTTGCAAAGCACGGCTGTGATAGTTGCTTTAGAAGTATTTCAAACCCGGGTTGTAAAGGAAGTGTTCCTGTGTCCGGATCGACAGGAGAGCCCAGAGTCAGGGAAGAAAGGTGGGAGACAGCCCCCCACCAGCCACTGGAGAGATTTGGGGTGTTAGGGATGCAGAAGCTTGTGGCTCTGTTGCTGCCAGGTGGGCTGCCAGGTGTGAGGACAGCCTGGGGTCACCACACAGGTCTGGGCTTAGCACCCACAGTTGTGCTAGCTGCTGGGTGCTTTGGTGCTCCAGCCCATGGCAATCCCTATCCTTACCCTCCATCTAGTGATGTTAGCCATATCACGCAGTCTAAAACAGCAGCAGCGCAGGCTCCCGCTTTGGGTGTTACATGTTTGGCGGGCATTGCCATGTGCGATACACTCTTCAGCAGGTCCGTGGTGTCTCCCTGCACCTCAGTAATGCGCTAACCTCCTTTTGACAGCAGAGCCAGGTGACAAAGAAAAGAGTCCCTGAGTCACCAGAGCAAAGAGCTTTGGCTAAATTTAGATGTAGAGGCCGGTGGGTGTCCTTGTTTGCTGCACAGCTGCTTTTCTGTGCCCCTGCAGGTTTGGAAAACGTGACTATCCAGCTGAACCTAGAGGCCGAGTTTCATTTCACTCATCTCATTATGACCTTCAAGGTAAGGAAGCTACAGCCATGCCCCAAAACACAAGGAAGTAAGAGATCTTCTAGTCCTTCACATCTATTTGACATTTGGCATTTGGAGTTTGAGCTGTTTTGCCTGATTTTTTTTT